GATAAGTACTGGACTTCAAGTTTGGCAGATCAAACCCTATACAGGGTCACAGTGAGTTGTAACTGACTTGAGGGCACTTAACAACAACATCACAATTGAATCATTATAATTCCTACACATCCACTCCTTTTTTCTCTTACCAGACCCATCAGAAAAAAGTTATTTGGTGGAATTTTAAACATTCTAGCTAAAAGAGACATAAGAAGTAATTTACTGCTTCATAGTGGGTATCAAGAATGAATTGTACCTTTCTTGTCATCATCCACTTATGTGCATATGTGATGTCAGGCTGCCATCTAGATCCAATGCTGCTCACACAAGTTCAAGGGGAGTGTGACAAGCCAGGCCTGTCAATAGTTCAACTGTTGGTTTCCTCTTTTACCACCTCTGTTTAACTCCTTCTCCTAGTGAGCTTGCAATCCATTTCTGTATCCTTTCCTCTAAAATGCATCTGTTGCTGTGATTCATTTGGTCTCTTATATCTCCTGCTATGACATTGTAGGATAAATGCTAGATTGCAAGGTCGGTTTGAACCACAAAGTTGGCCATTCTAACTCACAAGTTGCTCCTCAGAAAACCTATAGAGAGTTGCTATGAGTCAGTCAACTCGATGACATTTAACAATAACAATCTTTGTTATAGAAGGTCTGTGTGCAATATGGCTGCCTAGTCTGCCATCTTGCCAGAAGTCCTCAGTAGTGATAATTTTAGCAAAGGAAAACTCCCTATGTTGATAGCATTATGAGAAGATAGCTCTGTCTCCTAATGAAACATAGATTGTAGGAGATAAGAGCAGATATTGCAAAGGAGATGCACAGAAGTTTCCTGTTATCTTAGTGGAGTTTCTTGGCAGTACAGAGGGTTAATGATCATAGTTGCTAGTTGAAATAATGAAGGTTTAAGTTGAAACAGAAGAGCCTTGACAGGAATGTCTGGTAACAGACTCATTTGAAAACACGAAGGATCATCATTCTGACACTCATGGGGCCACCTGAATTCTATCAGAACTTATTGTGCTTTTTGGGCACTAAGTTGTTTTACCAAGATGTTCCCACTAAGGTGTGGTTTGGCCATAAAAGGTGTTTGCTTCTGTTTCATCAGCTATTCTAAATTCCCTTCCATATCTAGCTCAATTTTGACTTTCTTCCTTTCTCTAATTGGAAATTTCAATGTTTTGTTTTCTGCTCAAAAGAGCCAGAATCTGAACAATATATTTAAGTACGATGATATAACTGTACATTAACACTATCGATATATAATAACTTTAAAAGATAAGGAAAATTTCCACAAACTTGTTGAAGCCCTTTATGTATGTGCATGTCAAAAAGTATTGCTGCTAGGGTTCTAGTTCATGTAAAGCATGTTTCTGCTATCAGTGGATAACTGAAAACAAGTCCTCTCAATAATTCACTTGTCTTACTTTCATTGGGTGCCTTCAAACAAAAGTCCAACCAAAACAATGGCTTTTGAAAGGATCTACTGGGCCAGTTAATGTAAGGGAGGGAGATCAGCTCAGAAGACTATTGTGACAGTTGTAAGGATTTTAAAGCAGTGATCTGGGTAGATTGTCTCAAAGGACACAGGATGCCATAGGGGTTTATTAGAAAGAAGTTTTAAGAAAATTGAAAACTGTATTGGTAAGGAAAAGATCAGGACTGTTGCAATGAGTCCTTGCCCCCCCCCCCCCATTCACAACAATGCTCTTGCTCATTCTTTGAGGTTAACAAGGATCCTACAAGATATCCTACAAGAATTTTGTTGGGAAATCTTACCCCATCCAGGCTACATCCCTGATATTACCCATTCAGACTTCTTTTTGTTCCCCAAACCCAAAGACCATTTAAAAGGAACATGATTTGAGTCCTTCAAAAATTTCCAAACTGTTGTTTACAAATGAAGAGCACAGATTCTTTGGGGGAAGGGTTAAAGAAATGGAATGCTGCTTTCAGAAGTGTATAGACCTAAATGTACCATTAGAAAAACAATAGCTTCATATGTTGATAATTTTGTCTAGTAAACATTTCCATGATTTTATAGCAATCTTTTTTGGCTTATCCTCATGTGTGTATTTATGTGTAGAAAAAAAAATAGCATTGTACACCACATGTTGCTAATTCTAATGACATTTGCCTATAAATACATATCACACATTCTTCACATTATATATACCAGAGTTCTATAGATGCAACTATATATGTCTTGATTTATTGAAGATTTACATATGAACATATCAATATAAAATATACACTATGGAAAGTATAATAATGCTATTAATCTGACATTGTCTGTGAGCTATGGGAAGAATGGTGTTAATGCTGTGTGCTTCTGCATTACTTAACTTGCTCATCCACACTGATCTCCTAGAATCTGAACTAGGTATGCTTATTGAAATCTAATTCTAAATCATAAATGTATCCTTAGACTGAAATATTTATATTTCTCACAAACAATATTTCAATATATTTGATGGTATAGTTAGAAGAGACTGTGGGAGTAAAATACCATTTCACTAGCCACAGTTGTATCAGATATTCAAGGTAAAAGTGAGCGTCTCATCATAATCTTCTTTATAATTTCTCACAAGAATTTAGGAGAAGAAAGTAGAATGAGTTTTAAATTTATTAGGAATATATTTAAATATATAAATACATGTTCATTTGTATAAATATATACATTTTATATGTTTTAACTCTGATCACTACCTTCCTTCTATTCCTGTAGTTTCTAATTTCACAGGACAGAGTTTAATGCTCTTTTTTGTGCACGTAAAGTAATAAGGAATGAATATAGTGGGTCACAGGAAGGGTTGGTAGCCACAGATCAACAGTTCGTATCTATCAGCTATTCCAAGAGAAAAAGGTTCTGTTCTTGTAAAGACGTATGCATATCCTAAGAAATCCTATACAGAATGGCTATGAGTTGGAACTGACTCCATGACACAGAACCACTACCTATATCAGAGTAATCAGATTACTGGATATTTCACAGAGTAGCAATACTAATAAACTTGGTTTTGCATTTTATTCATGGAATGTCTGTTACTGATGGTCTATCCCCAAGGGGAGGGGGAATAATAATAATCACCTAGCTTCAGAAAAATTCATCAGAATTAAACAGCAGCCCTTTTCTATCAGTAGCAATACCATTTGCAAGATAACAAAGGATAAAATGTCCTTAATAGTAAGAGGAAAATTAAAATGGTCTTTAGAGCTACCAGGTACAAGTTGTTATACTGTCATCATGAAGTTCTGAATGGCTGTTTAACACCCAAACCTGTTCTTGACAATGTGAACAGAAGAATATGATGTTACACAGCTAGTGGACAGTTTAGCACTCGCATTTTATTTTTTATTTTTCCTTCAGACATGATAACCGACAGTACTCAAGATTGCAGTTTCTATGTCACTTTTGGTCCTAGAGTAAAAATATCATAGAATTGTCAAAGATGTGTAGCAGAAATAGAAAATAAGCATTTGGAATAACGACATAGAAAGTTTGTTGCTACTACAGAATAACTGAGCCTACTTCAACTGATAAAATAATTTACTTTAATAATCTCTAATCAAAATTTCCATGTATCATCATGGAAAATTCTTTTGTAATAGGATAATTTGTTGCACAAGACCTCTTTAAAATGTTGAAGAGCAAAGGTAGCAATTTGACTACTAAGGTGCGCCTGACCCAAGCCATGGTATTTCCAATAACATCATATCCATGGGAAAGTTGGACAGTGAATAAGGAAGACCATAGATGAATTGATGCATTTGAGTTATGGTTTTAGAGGAATATAGTAAAAGTGCCATGGGCTGCCGAAATAACAAACAGATCTGTGTTGGAAAAAATTACAATCAGAGTGCTCCTTGGAAGCCAGAATGGCCAGACTTTGTCTCTTATACTTTGGCCACATTATCAGGAAGGATCAGTCCCCAGAAAAGGATATCATGTGTGGTAAAGTGGAGGGTCGGAGAAAAAGAGGAAGACCCCCAACAAGACAGATTGATGCAGTGGCAGCAGCAGTGGGCTTAGGCATAGCGATTGTGAGGTCGGCCCAGGACTGGGCAGTGTTTTGTTCTGTTGTGCATAGGGTCACTATGAGTTAATACTGACTCAATGGCATTCAAGAAGAACAACAATAGGAACATTACCAAAGTGTTCTCACTAACTCTGCATATGAATGCACACAACATAATTATTTCCAAGCTATATGCACAACTCCTAAAGACAGCCAAGCTGGAACAGTGTTGGGAAATGTGATGCTAAGATGCCTTTTTACTACATTCTATGTGTGTATTGGACTGCTGGTGTGGTGCTGTAGGCTAATTCGTCAGACTGCAAAGTCATTTGAACTGCAAGGTCGGTGGTTCAAGCTCACCGGATGTTCCTTGGAAACACTATACAGGATCCCTGTGGGTCAGAATTGACTTGACAACACTTAACAACAACAACAACATGTGTGTATCACATTAGTGAAAGATTATATATGTTTCTTCCACATATCAGAATTATAGAAAATAAATGTAGTTTTAATAATTCTGTCATACATTGAAAAGTATGCCATAAATCTAGGACATCTATAACTCTCCATTGAAGAGGCAGTAGAATAAACAAGATAGCATGTATAGAACAAATAAATAAAATATCCAGTTATACAAAAGAATTTAAAACCATGCACAGTAAATAAAATATTTAAAGCTTTGTTTTAACCAAACTTTTAAATAAATCAAGGACTAACTAAAGTTTTCTTTATGACCCCATGAGAAATACTTTAGAGCTTTAAATAAATACTAATTTTAAAAAGAGAGAAAGAAAGAAGTTAGGCAGAAAGGGCAGGATGAAAAAGGGAAGAAGGGAGCCAGGAAGAGACAGAAGGAAAGAATAAACCTGACTCTAAGAGTTGAATTTACTATTCCTAAATTAGACAGTTTTTACAATGATTACAATTAGACAGTGTTGTCATTTGTGTTGTCATTTTCATGTAAACAGTGTCCTTGGGAACTTACCTCTCAACATAATCTAGTAGCCGGGAACAGTGATTTGAAGCTGGAGCATCATGACCTCCTACTGCATAAAGAAAACCATCACATGTGGCCACTCCCACACCCCCTCTCCTCTTACACATCGGAGCACACATGTTCCACTTGTTTGTATGAGGGTCATAATACTCCATTGAACTCAAACAGGAACTTCCATCCCGACCTCCAACTGAATATAACCTAAAAACAATTTAAAAAATGTGATTTGACATTAGAATCAAGATGACAACAATGTAGAAAAGGAAATGTTTTTTAAATATAAATTTCAGTCATAGCGCAAACCCAAAATTGTTTTTATTGTATTTGGAAATATACTACTTTACATGGAAGTTTTTGAAAAGGCAATTTTAGACTATTATATATGCATAGAATTTTCATTGTTCCAATATTTAGTGCACTATATTAAGTAGAATTAGGTAAAAGTGTGTTGTTCTAACTTTTATTGGTATCAATATTAATATATTGGTGAGGAGTTCCGGTAGCATAGTGGTTACGAGTTAGGCTGCTCGACTTCAGCAGTTAGAAACTTTCAGGGGTTTTGCGGGAAAAAGATGAGGCTTTCTGCTCCCGTAAAGATTGACAGCCTCGGAAACCCTATACAAGGTCTCTATGGGTCTGAACCGACTCGATGGCACTTAACAACAACAATTGGTTATGGTGGTGGTGTGCCTTCCAATCTGTTTTGACTCAGAGTGACAGTGTATAAGATTTCCAAGGCTGTAAATCTTTACAGGAGCAGAAAGCTTCATCTTTCTACTGAATAGCTGCTGAGAAATTTGAACTTCTGACCTTTCTATTAGCAGTCCAACACATAACCGCAATGCTACCAGGGAATTTTACAAATGTTTATGAATGATAATTTAAACTATCGAGCAATATATTTGACAGTATTTTTTGTTGAAAATGACATCAGAAGAACATTAATTACCTTTTATTTGTTGATTAGTGTATAAATCATGGCTACACTATATGTTCCTTCCTTACAATTTAGAATATAATATAAATGCAAAAGATGAAGCCAGTGTTTCCATAACAACAGCTTCCTTATAGTGACTATAATCTAGTTTATGTATGTATGTATGTTGTTGTTGTTAAGTACCATTGAGTTGGTTCTGACCCATAGCAACCCTGTTTAGGGTGTCCAAGGAGCAACTGGTGAGCTTGAACCACCACATTTGCGGTACAAAATGACTTTGCAGTCTAGTGCATTAGCTCACAGTGCCACACTTTATACAATAAAAACAAAAATAGTGCAACAATACTATTCTGACCAACAGAGTAATGCTAAAACTTATTTGATGTACTAATTTTGTTGTACAGATATGTAACACATAATGTCCATTCAGGCAGCATCCTAGCCCATACATTCACAATTCTCCATCATAAAACAGTGTATAGTGAATGCAACAGCTTCCCACACATACAATGTATATCACATCTATTTTGTATGCAAAGTGATTGTGCTGCCAGGGACATAATGGTAGAGTATAACATATAACCTATATTACATATGCTTTGATTGTCATAATAAATGCTTATGGTACTGGTTTATGTAAATACTATATTATACCTCCTATCTAAAAAGTTTACCATGTAATTATATGCTTCGATTCATAGGCCGCAGGATTCAATTTCCAGCATTGCATGCCACTTGAGTATTAGAGTGTTATCTCCCTGTTTAGCTTTCTTTAAAAAATGTAACCATGAAATGTATCAGAAAACAAAAGAAAATCTTCTCCAACCTGTTGAAGGATTGGTTCCACTGAAAGTACAAGGCTCATAAAAATTCAAGAGAGACCTCTAGCCTATATGGAAAAACTGCTAATGGTGTGGATTGAGGACCAAACACAAAACAAAGCTCTCTCTGCAAAATTACAATCACTGCTAAGGCACAGAACTTGTTGGAGATGCATACAGAGAAAAGTAGGACCAGACTATGGTTTGGTGCTTGTACAACATCCAAATCATATAACGTCCTGTTTTGCAGAATTACTCATGAACATTAAATAATGAATTACTATAATTATTTTATTACTGATAAATGTGACAGAAACCAGGAAACTACGTACTAAACTATAAGTGGTATTTAACTGACTAGAAATAGAGCATGTTGTTGTTAAGTGCCATCAAGTCAGTTCTGACTCATAGTGACCCTGTGTAGGGTTTCCGAGGAGTGGCTAGTGAGTTTGAACCACTGACCTTGCAGCTCAAACTGACCTTGCAGTCCAGCACATTAACCTACACAGCAAGACTCAAAAAAACAGCATAGGTCCCTAATTTAAAAAAAAAAAAATCTTGTCAATTTGGTTGTAATCATGAAGATGTGATCATGTAAGTTATAGAGTTTAACAGTAGCTCTGTGTACTTATTCATGTACTTAATCATTGACAAAATGTTTTTGAGATCCTACTATGTGCCACCTGGGAGTGTGGTGGCTTTAGAGGATCAGCACTGGACTGAACCACAAGGTAAGTGGTTTGAGCCCATCAACTGCTCAGAAAGAGAAAGGTGAGGCTTTCTGCTCCCAAAGATTTACAAACATGAACTCTATACAGAGTAGCTGAGTCAGAGCTGGTTTGATGACAATGGGTTGTTTGGGGTTTAGTATGTGTCCCACTCTAAGTTTATGACTATGTTGTTGTTGTTAAGTGCCGTCGAGTCGGTTCTGACCCATAGCCACCCTGAACAGGGTTTCCGATGCTGCAAATCTTTACGAGCAGAAAGCTTCATCTTTCTCCTGAGGAACAGCTGGTAGTTTCAAACTGCTGACCTTACAGTTACGCTACCAGAGCGCCTTAAGTTGATGAATATATCCCTGGGCAAAATAAGAAAAGAAACAAAACAAAGAAACCTGTTCTCAATTCTAGTGAGAGGAGAATAAATAATCCAAAATGAATACATATGCGTATATGATATGTTACTTTAAAAGGAGCTAAGTACTACAGATACAGATAAAACAGGGAAGGTGGCTCACAAATGGTAGTAGGGGTTGTGATTGCAGTTTCATCTACATGTTAAAGTAGACATTGAAATAAAAGCAACATTTGTGCAAAGACTTAAAGAAGCTTAGTAGAGAATGTGGATACAGGTATATCTGGAGGAACAGGATTCATGGCAGATGCAACAGTGAGTGCGGTTTCCCAAGAGTGCCATGAAAGTGTGAGTGGCTGGAGCAGGGTGATTGAGTGGTATGTGGCAGATGAGAAGACAGCTCAGCCTCACGCTGGCATACATTTACCCAGAGAGAAACAAGAAGTCATCAGCACTTTTTGGCATTTATTTAGTAGAGGGGTAATGATTTACTTATTTTTTTAAATAATATTATAGATTGTAGAATTTTCTCTTTTACTAGTGAATATTATTTTTATCATGCTGTTGAAGAAATTTAACTTCACACTTTTCAGATTCTAAATAAATGCACCAAACCAAACCAAATATATGTCTGTACCGTTGAGTCCAACTGATAGAGAGCATATAAAACAGCTTAGAACTGCCCTATAGGGTTTCCAAGGCTAGAAATCCATAAGAAAGCAGACTGTCAAATTTTTCTCCTTCAGAGAGACTGGTAGTTTCAAACCACTGACCTTTTGGTTAGTAGCTGAGTGCTATAACCACTATATTACAGAGGTCCTTAAATTAACGCAGAAAACAAAAAACCAAACCCATGGTTACACAGTTCATTCCTACTTGTAGTTACCCTATAAAGGAATTCTGAGAGTATAAATTTTTACTGAGGCAGACAGCTTCATCTTTTTCCTGCTGGTGGATTTGAACTGCTAACCTTACAGTTAGCAGCCCAATGCATACCCCACAGCATCACTAGGGCTCCTTAAATAAATGCACAAAAGACATTATTTCTTGATATATACGATCTTGTTGTTGTTGGTGTTAGGCCATGTCAAAACAAGTCCTACTAATTAATAGTGACTGGATAGGATAGACTAGACTTGCTCCATAGGGTTGGTGGTGGTGGTTATGTGCCATGGAGTCGGCCCCTTAGTGTTCCCTGTGCTGAAATGTTTACAGGAGAATATTTCCAAGTCTTTTCTCACACAGAGCAGCTGGTGAGTTCAAAGTCTGGCCCGTTAATTAGCAGAGTGTTAACAGTTGCACTACCAAAGAGCTTTTCATATAAAATCTTAGGTTTAAAATGTTTCATATCTCTTAATAATGTTAAAATATGCTGTCTAATCAGATTGCAAATCCTGGGGATATGTTGTTTAAAAATGAAAATAGTTGTTACTGTTCCTTATAATATCTACCTAGCTACATGATAAAATGTTTCTGATTGCCCAAGCGTTTCTTTCTGGATATAATACTCCTTTGCTTGATTGTGCACAAGTTGTCTGTTGCTCTGATTCTCACAAAATGTGGAGATTAGCCAATGGAAGCATTTCAAAGAGAATGTACTGGACAATTTAGCTTGCAACAGCACCCAGAAGTGAAATAATTATTCACCAAGAAGCTTCTACCATTTTAAACACTTCATGAAATCTGACCTTCATTGATTTCTCTGTTTCATTTAAATTGAAGCTGTAACTCAAAAGAAGTTATCTTATAATCTTGAAATTTTATTACTAGGATTTAACACAAATATTTTTTCAATGATTTCACTTGTTGGTTAAGTAACTTTAGTATCAGGCACATAACTCAGTCCCTGGTATATAATTAGCATTTTTAAAAAAGATATACACTGTTTTTTCTTACATTGTTTTAAAGAAAATGTTGACTTCACCTTGCTGTACTTATTTATACACATTACAATGATAAATCATACTATTGATTTACTTGAAAATAGAGTCTCTGACAATAAAAATTTTTCTAGTCAATATTATATTTTCTTCTCTAAACATATTAAAGAATAATATTAAAATAAAACTTAATAATTAATTGTTTATAAAACATAGTGATCAATAATTAGCAAATAATAGGTTAAATTAAGTGTGCCCAATAAAAAATCTTATTATGCCAGAGGATTGAGGGCATTGATAAATATTGTACATTCCATCTACCTCAGATCATTGGATGGAATGTTATGATTATTATACATATTATGTTTATATTAGTCATCTTCTTATATAATTTGTTATTGTTGTTGTTAGGTATCGTTGAGTCAGTTCTTACTCATAGCAACCCTGTATAGGGTTTCTGAGGAGTAGCTGATGAGATTGAACCTCCAA